ATACAGTCAGGTTTACAAACATTTGTGAAAGAATGGGATGTTCTGAAGAGCTCAGTGAATTCAAGCGTGATACTGTCACAGGATGCCACCTTTGCAATAAGTCAGTTTGTGAATTTCATACCTGCTAGATATTCCACAGTCAACTGTATGTGGTATTACAGCAAAGTGGAAGTGTTTAGGAAGAAGAGAAATTCAACCACAAAGTCGCAGACCACATAAAGAAATACATTATAAACACGCAAAATAATTACATTTGAGGGTAAAGTGACATAATTTTAATTCAGATTTATCAGTATTATTGTGTCATCTCATATAAATCAGTTTTTGTATCACTCTCCCATTACATTCTCTCACCGTGAGCGTCTGGCACAGTAGTACACAGCTGTGTCTTCAGTCTGCAGGCTCTTCCCCTGTAAGGACACTGTGTTGCTGGAGGTGTCTCTAGAGATGGTGAATTTATTTTTCAGTGAATCTTTGTATTCAGTACCCCCACCACTCCATATTACTCCAATCCACTCCAGTTCTTTCCCTTCAGGTTGTCGGATCCAGTTTGTGCTAGTGATTGTTACTGAGTAAGAGACTTTACAGGAGATGGTTGGAGAGTCTCCAGGTTTCACAGTGATGGACTCTGACTGGGTGAGTTCAACATTACAATAAACAACTGAGGGAAAAAAGAGTGTTTTTGTACTTCAAGAAATAAAGAACAAATCATTAACAATATCTGCACTTAAATGTCTAAATGTCATGTTTGACTACAGCAAATACTTACATGTGAAAACACCCAGTAAAAAGAATAAAGTGGTTGTAGCAACCATTGTGTTACAGAGGCGTCCTTGAATGTGACTGATGTCTGTGTGTTTGAAGGCGTCACTCTGGCTTTTAAACAAAGTCCAGCAGAAGCAAATGAATCTCTGGGGATTGTTGAGTGAAATCAAGTGAAGCAGGAAGACAGACAGCTGCTCTGCTGTATATGGATAACTGTGCTGTTTGAGATGGACAGAACCTGAAGAATGAGCATTAATGGCTTATAGAACTGCTGGTGGTCTAATCATCTCAGATTACCTTTCGTATTTGTTAAATATATGGAAATGTGTATATAAATGTCTTTTTTCAGCTTTGCAGTAGGTATAGTAGGTTTGATTTAGTTTTTTTATATATCCCAGTTGCTATGATCTGAGACCTTTCAGAATTAACACTTCAGTTTTGATTAATAGTGATTAAATGTACTGTTTATGTTAGAATGGCTACTGCCTACAATTGCAGGTATGAAAGCTGACAAGCAGGTTTACACTCCGGAATTTGGATAATCAAAATTTTAATAATAGAAACTCCTAGTTGTTTCTTAACCATAACATTAAAATTTGTGCCAATAATATGAGATAATATAACTTTCACATGCAACGTAAATATGCCTGTAGCCATAATGACATTAAGACAGAGTGTACAGCCCAGCAGGGTAGGGCTCTGTGCCCATGTCTGGAAGGTCATGGGTTCAGCTGCTCTGAGTATTTATATCACTGTCGGGCCCTTGAGCANCAATAATATGAGATAATATAACTTTCACATGCAATGTAAATATGCCTGTAGCCATAATGACATTAAGACAGAGTGTACAGCCCAGCAGGGTAGGGCTCTGTGCCCATGTCTGGAAGGTCATGGGTTCAGCTGCTCTGAGTATTTATATCACTGTCGGGCCCTTGAGCACGGCCCTTAACTCTGACTGTTCCAGGGACGCTGGCTGACTCTGCTCTCTGACCACAAGCTTTCTTCACTCGTATGCTGCATTGCAATAAAGTCTTTGCTAGATATGTTAAACTTAAATAATCTGAGGGCCAAACCTAGAATGAATTTCCTATTGATATCTGTGTTATGAAGGTCATAGAGAGAGGATTATAGTCAGACGTCTCTCACTGAATCCTGAGTAGAGTAACACACTGCAGTGTCATAAGCTTTACAACCTGCTGTTCTGAGTCATCCTGAACACAGAAGTCTGTATGACCCTCCATAAGGAGCTCTGGCGCCCCCTCATGGAGAAGAACAGCAAACGGCTCCCTGTTAGAGCCTTCATTACTTCACTACAATCAATATTTTTTTCAACTTATTACACATGCCATACTTCTGTTTAAAAAATAACACCTAAAAATGCTTTAATTTTGAATGCCTGTCAATAAATCTCTCTTAGTATTGAAAGTAAATTATTGCACGGCATCTTTGTCATGAACCTTTTCAGTGTATATGTTAATTAAATTCCTGACCAGCAGTTTTCAACACAATGAAATATACTGCAAGTGTAAAACTATTCATATTTTTTAAATATGACAATCATATTACAAGATTTACAACATTTAAAAAAAAGCAATACAGCTGCTACTGTCTATCTAAAATGGGTCTCAGTCTGATATTTGTGTCCCTCTGCAGCCTGCATTTACTGTCACACTGAGGACATCTTGTGGCTTCTGCTGGAACTGCAGTGATTGTTTCTAGTGTGATAATCTTTCCATTTCCATTAAAATATCAGTTTTGCCTTTTCCTGTCCTGGCCGCTTGGGTGCAGCTTCATCAGAAGCCCTCAGACTCACACACCCTGTAAACTCGTTACTTTATAAAGAAATGAAAAGAGTAATGTCAGGGAGTTTCAAAACATTTGAACCTCAGTCATCAAAATCATTGTTAAATATGTCTTTTTATACATAAATTATATTATACATCAACATCCATCCATCCATCCACTTCCTGTAGCGTCTTGTCCAATTCACGGTAGCAGGGGGGGTCCAGAGCATTACATCAACATAATTATACAGCAGATAACTGATTAATAGTATCTGTTGCTATGGGGGATTTGACATACTTTATATGGACGTATTGAGACAGACCTCTTTATCACTGAATTAAGGTGTTTTCTTCAGGCACATTGCCACAGGTGTATAAAATCAAGCACCTAGC